TGCTGAGCTAAGGGGGTTTCTGAGCACTCTTACCCTTCTTGCTTCTCTCAGGGACTGTTATTCTTTGGGCCTGGAGGATCGCCCCCTTAAGGTATGACCATCCCTCATGGACTCCCATCTCCTCTACCTTCTGGGCCCTCAGTGCCTCCCCCACTAATCTCCTAAGCTCATTGAAGTTGGCCCTTCTGAAGTCAAGGGCTTTAGCCTTGGTGTGAGCCTGATGCCCTGTGTTGGATAATGAAATCCAGCAGGTGATGATCGCTATTGTCCAGGTGGTCAAGGACCTGCAGTCCCCTCACCAGGTCATCCCCCGTGGCCAGCACCAGGTCCAGCAAGGCGTTACCCCTGGTGGGGCTGTGCACTTCCTAAATAAGGTGAAGGTCCTGTAATACAGCCAGGAACCTACGCAAGCGGTCAGACCTGGCTGTCTGCTCCTCCCAGCAAATGTCATGGGTGACCTAAACTACCCAGACAATAGCATCCCTTGACCTAAATGCCTCCATAAGAGGACCAGAGAAGTCCTGGTCCAGCTCTTCCCCCTGGTTGGGTGGTCTGTAGTAGACACCCACTGGTTACTTAAAAAAAAAGCCTGTAGCAGCTGTTCAAAGCTGCACAGCAGGCTGCTATATGAGAAACCAAATAAATGCAATTTGTTATACAGTTCTGCAATGTCTAACATGATAGCTCCATCACAGATGTGGCATGTATATCACATACTTATATTGTGTGTCCATATATGTCATGCACAGGCCTTATGTGACAGGAGAAAGCTTCCCAGTTCAGGAATACTATTACTGTATCCTCTTTTTGTTTTTTTTTGGTAAAAGGACACACTCTTGGTTTCTAATGGCATTTTAAATAGAAATGAGCTCCCAAGCCATTAAATAATTCAAGAAGTTGTATTAAGTGAGGTTCTGTAATGCTACCAAAGGGCACGCTCCCAGTGACAGCAGTGGCCCTACTGTGGCGAGCTGATAAGGATGGGTGTGGGTAAAGGACAAGAGAAAGAGGGAGGGAAGCAGTCTGAGAGTACATGAGCGTGCACATATGTATGTACAAGAGGGGGCTGTTCTTAGAAGTGTCAGGAGCTGTGTACATGTGATAAGGTTGCTTTTGGTTCTCTGTGCACTGCTGTTAATGTGTAAATATATGAGATTCTTTGAATACAGGTATGCATGTATTGTTTTGAGAGGGGCATGAACCGGTGAAGGTGTGTGCTTAGAACACGTGAAAATGTTTTCAAGCATGACAACAATGCACACTCCCTCAACATGGACTGGGCTGAGCATATGTACACAAAAGGTGAAAGCATGTGGAAGCATAAATATTTGGGTCTCTCACCTTGAACACAAGCATGTGGGAAGGGTCTGTGCAATGCGTGCATCAAGGGTGCATGCACGTACAACTTGTGATGTATAAAAGGAAGTCCATGACTATGACTAGGATGTGTGCATGGCACTCTTCATGAGCATGGTGCTTTGAAGTCCTAAAATAATGAGGCCCTTGCCTTGAAGATGCTTCAATACACTCTTCTAGACTGTAAAACAGGGACTGCATGCGAGAGTATTGCAGCACAGTGTAAATTAGCAGCTACTGCTGGCTCAGCTGTCAGCCCAGTAGGAACACAGGCCTTTTTAAGGTCAGAGGAACCAGCATGAAGATAAGATTGGAAAGATTTCTGCTTTCAGATTCCAGACCTCGATCAGACCTGCTGAGAGAGAAATAGAGATATTGATGTGGTGGAGGGGGAGACGGGGTGGAGTTGAAACCAGTCTCCCTGTATCAGCCTGGAATGTAGAGCAGGATTGTGCCGGGTAAGCTCACAAATGAAAGGAAGGCTACAAACACTCCTTCCAACCCATCCCATCCCACCCCTTTCCCAGAGGGCACCTTAAAAACAAAGTCATCTGCTGGATCTCAGGAAGGCAATGCAAGAGAGGGCTATAGCAGAGCCATATTTACATAGACAAACAGAGGCAAGAGAGTTATACACTGATGCTGTAAAATCAACACAGAGAAAACTCAATTCAGATAAGCATGTCTGAGCATGAGGGATAGTCTGGGAGGGAAAGGAGGGGGAGCAATACCCACGCCTGAAAATTTCTAAAGCAAGTAAGGTGTGGACAGGGCATCCACCTGCAATGAGACCTCTTGCATTTTATCCCATATTCCCTACTAGGCTGACCACAATGAAGTTGGTTGGGTCATCTGAATGGACAGGGGCAGCCAGATCCTGCTGTCTTTACACAGACTGCGTTTCCACTGAAATCATGGGTTAAGGAACTCAGAGTTTGCCCTTTGGAGTCCAGCTGGCAGGCTTCAAATCTAGGCCTACCTGGATCCTTAAGACTTTTGCCAAGACCTCCAGTTCTTGCTTACTCAGTTTATATCAGAAAGGAAGGAAAAAGGAAGAAGGGGGGTGGGAGGGGAGGAATAATAAGAGAAAAGAAGGGCAAGGTGAATGAGAAAGAGATGAAGGTGATCCTTTCCTTGGCTCATGGAGCTTCCTAATTAGCTCAGGAATAAGACAACTTAACAGTAGTTGGGTTTTTAAAGCTCTGCTCTCAGGGTTCACTGGGGACACTTCAGATGCCAAGGTGAGGAAAGAGAGTTAACCGTTAATCTCAGCTCTTCTCAGCAAGAGTTGTGTCACAGGAGAGCAGAGATTCCCCATCCCTTTCCCCAAGGAAGGAAGAAAAGATAACAATAACCTACCTGTGGCTGGTCCCAGGTCCAAGCTGGAATCATTGAGCTCTCCCCCATCTTCCCAGAAGTACTGGGGGGGCTGCAAGATCTTGGACTCTTCGTTCTCTTCACTGGCAAAGCCAGATCCTGGGGAGGCGTGCAGGGCGCTGGGGACCAGCTCGGGCTCCACAGCCTCTGGGCTGGTTTGCTCACTGGAATCCAGAGGCTCCAGATGGGACATCATTGCAAACTCCACCAGTGATGTTGAGGTGAGACCCTCAGAGGCGGACTCCTCTGACGAAACGAGGCAGATACACAAGGTCCCTGCACAATGACAGGAGACCCATGTCAGAATAGGAGAGGGAGAAGCAAATTGCAAGAACTGACCAAAAGAGTTACTTGAGCTCTCAACTACATACAAGTCCCATTACCCCCCAACAACAACGGGACCCCTGTCTGACCAACAGGCATGTGGCTTGCCTCCTTCCAACCCAGAACATCCATGTAATCTCGGCAGCTGAGGGTGCTATTACCTATAAAGTAAAATCACCATATACAAAAAAAACCCTAAGTAGAAACAAGTTTAATTCCAGACTTGGCTGATGTCAACAGGGGTTGCTCTACCAAACGCTGTGCAGCTACAGCAGCATACCCCAAGCCACTGCATGACCTTCCACGGAGTGGTACTGATTTGTGCTGGCTGAGGATTGGGCTCCTCTCGGTTTATCAGACACAAGGTGCCTGAGGATACAGCTGCTGTTTTCAATAGACACACTCAACGCTCTTAGCCCATAAGGAACCTGGCATGCTAGGAGCCATTGTGTTCCTTTTTAACTTAAAGTCATGCTGAATAACACATAAGCAGAAAAGGAGGGATGAAAAAATACAACTCCATTTTCCTTGAGACAGTGGATTTGAAGAGAGGCTGCTGAAGGCCTTAAGTGTAGCATGTGGCATTGTCCAACAACTAGACTGATTGGAAATAACTAACTAGGTTGCTTCCTCAGTGCTATCTGTTCTCCAGCTAACATCTATACCAGACCATAGCATCTTCCATTTTAAAGGGCTTCGCAGGCATGTAGACCTCTGAAGTCCAGCTGCTCCGGGGGAAATGGTTCCACAACTGGCAAGAGTAGGAAGGGAACATTTTATCCAAAGGTCTCAAAGCAAAACCCAGGCTTTTGCTACTAGGTGAAGGTGCCTTTGTCTATGTTATGTACATTGGAGCTCGGTGTACTGGATTTTCCAAAGCCTCTTGCACAACAAACTACACATATTTGGCTCCTGTATCTGTAGGATGAAGGGCTGAGTTGATCTCGCTGGGAGTGGGATCAATGGTTCCAGGCATAGCCAACTTGGGACTTAAGCCATTAACCCATCCTGACTCAAAAACAGTGACAGTACTGCACATTCACTGATTGCACAACCTGGACCTGACCAAAAAGTAAGCTGCTACCTGTCCTTTATTAAGCACAAAAATCCCAATTCAAATGTAAACCTGCAGTCCTGGCACCTTTAACAATTCCCTTAAAATTCTGAAGGGACTTCATGCAGTCTTCTGATTAGGCTGTAATGCTGTATGATGTAGCGGGTTGGGAGAGACAAGGATTATTATTTTTTTCTGCATGCATGTATGAGAAAATTCACACATTGTGCACTGGTGTGTAGATTCCCTTCAGGAAAAAGACACAGCAATTCTGCGTTTTGTAATGCTCAGCCTCCCTCTCACCATGGCAATTGCTTGTAGCCTGTTGTGCTACAGCCACCAATAAATTGTGAGCTCTTTGGGGCAGAGAGCACAGCTCTTTCATTCATCAGTAGGGTACGTAGCATGCTGTCAACCAGTAAATAAAGAATGGGCTATTCTGTCCTGCAAGCTGACATTTACTGCAAAATCCATCTTCTTGAATACCTTTTAGGGAGAGAAGATGGAATTTTAAAATTCCACTGAACTTTTTTCATTGATTTAAATGGAGCTAGCATTTTAGCCTAAAACTCTAGATCTAAACTGTATTATAAATAAAGATGGATTGATTTAAATCAAAGTGATTTAAATCAACAATTTTAATCACACTTTACATCAGCAAGCAAATCAAAGCAAATTAAACTTGTTTTGCACGTGAATTTATAGTCCTAAAGAAAACCTGTTTTCTCATTGGTTGGTAACTATTAAAACATGTTATCTGCAACTAAATATAAGCTTTACACTTAATTTGTACTTTTGGTTAACCAGAAAGATATATTATAATCTATACACATTGATTTAAGCAATTATATGCTTAAGGTTCATGGGTTTTATGTTAAAAATGGTGAATTTATTAGGTAAAGATGATGATTTTTTAAATTGTGACTGGTGTCAAGCAGCACTTGGAGGTGCACTGAAATTGAACTAACATGCACAAAAACAGCTTTTTCAGCTTCATTTTTTTTATAAGTTAAATATAACTCCTTGAAGCCTGCTGGATACATGAAATATAAGTTTATCAAAATATCTTTTGCATTTAAAGCTACCTGATTTATTAAACAAAATATGTATTATCCATAGTTAGTGAATTGGACTGATAGTTCCTGAGCACTGCCATCTTTAGCATTTTAGAACTAGAAGATCTCATCCTTTTCCATGTCATTTTTATTAGGAACTGGATTTAGGGGCAATAACTATATGCTGTACTGGAAAGAATTTACTAATGGATCTCTTCAAGACTACCCATGGAACTAGTCTTATTTAATATTTTCATCAGTGGTCTAAAAAAATACCAGTGTGGTACTGAAATGTGCTGATCCCACAAAATTGGGAGGCATTGTCAATAAAGAGGAGGATCAGGAGGAACTGGGTGACCTTCAGATCCAAAGTAATAGAAACAGGATTAAATTTAATACTACAAGGTACAGAGTTGTGCACTTAGGAACTAATAACAAGCATATCTGCTATGTAAGATGGAAACTTATCAGTTGGAATGGGCAGAGGTGGAGAAAGGCCTGGATGTATTAGTCAATTAGAGAAGGACTATCAGACACCAACGTGCTGCAGCTGTGAATAAGGCAAATACAACCCTTGGATGCATCTGGTGAGGTATTTCAAGGCCTTGGACAGACCTCAGATGGCATGCTCATAGTTGTAATCATCCATGATCAAAAAAGATTAATTCAAACTGGAATGGATTCAGAGAAGGGTTACAAAGGTGATCATGGGAGTGGAGAACCCATATTATGAAATGACAAAAGAGCTTTGCTTGTTTAGGCTAATAAAATGAAGGCTGAGAGGGGAGAAGATTGTCTATAAATACAAAAGGGGAGTAAAGAACAGAGAGGGAGCAGAGCTAAAAATAAAATGTTGACAGAAGAATAGGGGTATAAATTATCATCTCGGAATAAATTTAGGCTAGAAATTACAGGTTTCTAACCATCATAGCAGTAAGGTTCTGGAACAACCTTCCAACAGGATTACCAGAGGACAAGTGCCTAACTTGTTTTAAGATTAGTACATTTACGGATAGCTTTGTGTGACGTGATTGCAGGGGACTGGACTCGATGACTCAAGAGGCTATGGCTGTTAGAAGCTGTTTTAGCGCATCTACAAACTTGGGATGTGTGCGCTTAGCCAGTGACGTCTGCCAGTTCTGCAGCCTGCCTTTTTTTAAAGCTTTGCCAGCTAACATGTAAGGTTTGAATACAGTTTTTAATTTGATCTGAATGATCCTTGAAGCTGTTAGCAAGCCAGGCCTCAGTAGAGGTCAACATGGTTTCAAATGTACAATTTTTTATTTTTTTCTTTTACAGAGAAAAATGTTTTTAATGAAAATCTTTAGTTTGTTTTAAATCAGCGGGTTTTTTTTATCCAGTTTGATTACATGGCTCCTAGGACAAGAAGCAAGGGAAAGGGCAAGTTGCACATACAATTCAACACACCCACATAAGCCTTGCACAGCTCTTCCAGACCTACATTTCTCTAAAAAGGGACAGTCCTTCCCAGGTGGAATGTGAACAGAGGACTTTTTTCCCCATTAACAGGATTGATGGCACTCTGCTTTGAAATGCCTGGGGACTGGACAGCTGTTTGACATTCACTATAAGAGTACAGATTAAGTGTTTGTAGGACATGGTGAGTAGGGACCAAGGAGCTCTTGGATTTAGGTTAAAAGAACAAACCCCACTACTGGCTCCTGTCACCTTTTCTTTTGCTCTCTTAAGTACAAGACACAACCCATCTATTGTGATGTTCTTGTTCTAAGCACTGTACATACAACTGATTATTTCATCCTCAAAAAGAGCCCCAGGAAGAGCTTAAGCACCACTGATGGAGAATTGCCTCTAGAACAACAAAGATGACACTGGTCCTTTTCCAAGAAACCATCTTCTGAGCCCGATGCATCTGGGGTCAGGATGTGGGGCCTTTAGCCAGTGTTTTGAAAATACATGTATAGTGCAGGGGTGATCAATACAGCTCAGAATAAGGAGTCTCCTGACTTTGATTCAAGGAGCTCCCAGAAACACTGGAAACTTGTCTGACTTGATACAGAGCAAGAAACAGAAGCCAGGAGTCACCTGTTCTCCCTCCCCCCGCCCCGCCATCAGAGTACGAGAGAGAGGCCACTGGCTCCTGCTGCTAAATATGTTCTGGGAAACTTGGAAAGAAAGAGCTACATTTCTCAAGGTTCATGCCTATTTTGGCCCATTCCTGTGTTTTGCCCATTTTAAGAAACATTTGACTTCCCCCATCCCAGCCCCACAGGGCTGCTCAATGCCAATTTTGCTCTGTTGGTCGGAGACAAGATCAGCTCATCCCAGCGCAGATAAGTGAAAAGCAACTTTGACAGCAGCCGAGCCTCCTGGAAAGGGGAGATACTGCAGCAGAATGCAGCCAACCGAGACACATCCCTGGGCTTCCCCAGGGACGGCCAACCTCACCGTGTGCTGATTGCACATGGCTGAGTCAGTCACTGGGGATGACACAGAGGAGCCTGGATGCAGCGCAGATCCTGGTGGGTCAGGACTCCACAACGTGCGGCTCCATCCCCGCTTCTGCGCTCCCCTTGCCCTAAGTAAGAGAGTTTAAAGTGACCCAGCCACGGCAGAGACTTCCCTGGTCTTCAGGCAAGAACTGCCACTGATGCAGTACTTGTGAAGGAGGGTGCTGCCACATTGCACCAAGCCCTAAACCAACATGCAGCTCCTGCCCTGAAGGGCTCACCGTCTACACCAGGGGCAGGCAATTACTTTGGGCGGAGAGCCGCTTACTGAGTTTTAGCAAGCCATTGGGGGCCACATGACAGGCAGCCAGGAGCAGTTAAATATTCATTTTCTAAATTTCTTACACAGACAAG